GAATTTTGCTAATTTTTGTACAAAGTTTTAAATTCTGACTTTCATAGTCTTTGGTAGATAACGAATCCACACTTTCATAAAAAGTAATGCACACTAAATAATCGAAAGGGGAGTAGCCAAAGAAGGCTAAAATGTCTCTTCCCTATTTATATTTTCGCCACACTATCTACAGCTTAAGTTTTTCATATCTACGACTTTTTGAGGGTATTAGTACTACTTTTTATAATTTCATTAATTATATTGTTATACTATTAAAAAGGTGCTTTGAAAATGAGCTTTAAAAAAGGCATATATTTTTTAATTTTGTTATGTACTTCCTTTATTTACAATGTGCATGTCCAACTAAAGATATTAAAAAATACATACAGTGGTCAAAAAGTTAGAGCCGAACCACTTTTTGCCAAGTTTTAACGTTTTATTTTTGTTGTTATTTAATTTTGGCTATTATTTATTTTTTTATTTCTACGAAATTTACCAAATATCAACGGTAAGTCCTAGCTACTTAAAATTTGCACTTTGAATTGAATAGGTTACAAAACTGCATACTCAGAATGTTTCTAGGAAATCTTATAAAAAACCCCAAAAGTTTGATGCAACTTTGTCGAATTTTGCTAATTTTTGTACAAAGTTTTAAATTCTGACTTTCATAGTCTTTGGTAGATAACGAATCCACACTTTCATAAAAAGTAATGCACACTAAATAATCGAAAGGGGAGTAGCCAAAGAAGGCTAAAATGTCTCTTCCCTATTTATATTTTCGCCACACTATCTACAGCTTAAGTTTTTCATATCTACGACTTTTTGAGGGTATTAGTACTACTTTTTATAATTTCATTAATTATATTGTTATACTATAAATAAGGTGTTTTGAAAATGAGCTTTGAAAAAAGGCATATATTTTTTAATTTTGTTATGTACTTCCTTTATTTACAATGTGCATGCCCAACTAAAGATATTAAAAAATACATACAGTGGTCAAAAAGTTAAAGCCGAACCACTTTTTGCCAAGTTTTAACGTATTATTTTTGTTGTTATTTAATTTTGGTTATTTTTTTTTATAAAAATATAGTTTATTCTTTAAAAAACCTCATTTAAATTCAAGTTTCCAAATTTGTACAATATTAAAAAAAATTCAACAAATCTTCGTACAAACTTCGAGCTTTTTCAAATATTCTAAAAAATCAATCATAGTTTTTAGCCATTTGAAACTTGTACTTTATTGAACTAGAATTCAATGGGCAATAAAACTGCATACTCAGAATCCAATTAAAAAACTCGATATTTTTACAAAAATTTGTTGAATTTTTTTTTCAATTGCATAAATGTCTAAGGCAGTAGCACTCGATTGTAACATTTGTACAGATTAGTACGTTTTTATATTGGGCTATTGGTACAAAATGCAAAAAAGGGATTTTTTTTAAGTCAAAGGATTGGTAAAATACAGCGATGTTGTATTGAAAAATTTTTACAAAGTAATTTTTGTGATTGGGATAAAGAAAAATATTTGGGTATTCACACAATTGGGATACGATTTGCACCAAATGTTGGCAAATACCCAATCGTGTGATACTGCCTTTAAACTTGTATTTATACGGATGTTGTTAAAGAATCGACTATAAAAAACTAACCAAAATTAAATAACAACAAAAATAATATTTAAAAATTGTGAAAATTTGGTGCGGCTATAATTTTTTCGACTACTGTAATTAGACTGCATCACTAAGAAAAGTTGCGGTTTTTCCGGCGGTATTACCAAATATAGTATATTTTAAGACTTCTACCAAAATATTTCGGAAAATATGTATTAAGATTTACGTGAGCTGGACCGGTTTGAAAATACCTCTAAAAATGGAGTTTTTTTTATGAATAAAAATAGTTTCTTAAAGGATTCGTTGGAAAAAATTCCCTCAGATGACAAAATAGTTTAAGCTTAAAAAATCTACATAAAAATATTAAAGAATTGTATCAACGGAATCATAAAAATAAGATTTTTGATGCTGTTTTTTAACTTTTTTCAAAGATTTTTTGTTTTGTTTTTGTTGTTGGCCTTTAAATTTTAAATTATGAATCATTTTTAACAAGCTCGAGGCCCAGCAATTAAATAAAACGCAGAACTTCGTTCTATTGATATTTTAATTATCGATATTTCGACCTCAATCTGAGGTCATCTTCAGGACTGCAAATATACAAACACGATAATTTATTATTAACTTTAAATTATTACAAACATACATTAAACACAACTTACACTCTTGATTGTGCCTGGTGGACTGATTAGGCGTACAAAAGTAAAAGTTAAACAAGTGAAATTTTAGGCAAATAAGTATAAACATAAGAAGTAAACAATTAAAAATACCGTAAATGTAAACAAAAAACATACAAACAACAATACCCGGAACATTTAGCAGTAAGACAATATGTATATGTAAAAACATATGTACATATAAAAGCACAGCATTTTATTGTTATTCTATGAAGGTATGTTGAGGAAACGGAACGAATATTGATTATGGTTGATATGTTGTTGCCGATTTAACACCAAATTGCGATACACATGTGCACAATTGTCTGTGTCTGTTTTAAAGTTGATCCTTCTCTCATTAGGGGTGTTCGTAATGTGTAACATTTCCAAAATATAGCGTTTGTTATAGTTCTTTTCTTCTTGTAGAATGGCAACATTATCGAAATCGGGATAGTGTACCGTATCCCTACAGTATGCTGACGAGGTCGTCTTATTGTCAGTTGAGCTGTGCCTTAACTTTACATTTGATTTGTGTGCGGAAATCCTTGTCTTGAGTTTAGTTTTTGTTGTCACAACATATACTTTGTCGCATAAGTGGGACCCGTCGCCATTACATGAGATTTTGTATATTACGTCAGATTTCTCGTATCTAGGAATCTTATCCTTAGTGTTGCTATACATTTTTCCTAGCGTGTTGCTGCATGTAAATGCAAATTGGGCCTTCTCTTTGTCATATATATTAGAATGTTTAATCCTCTCAGATATCCCCGGAACATATGTTGTATTGAAAAATTTTTACAAATTAATTTTTGTGATTGGGATAAAGAAAAATATTTGGGTATTCACACAATTGGGAAACGATTTGCACCAAATGTTGGCAAATACCCAATCGTGTGATACTGCCTTTAAACTTGTATTTACACGGATGTTGTTAAAGAATCGACTATAAAAAACTAGCCAAAATTAAATAACAACAAAAATAATATTTAAAAATTGTGAAAATTGGTGCGGCTATAATTTTTTCGACTACTGTAATTAGACTGCATCACTAAAAAAGTTGCGGTTTTTCCGGCGGTATTACCAAATATAGTATATTTTAAGACTTCTACCAAAATATTTCGGAAAATATGTATTAAGATTTACGTGAGCTGGACCGGTTTGAAAATACCTCTAAAAATGGAGTTTTTTTATGAATAAAAATAGTTTCTTAAAGGATTCGTTGGAAAAAATTCCCTCAGATGACAAAACAGTTTAAGCTTAAAAAATCTACCTAAAAATATTAAAGAATTGTATCAACGGAATCATAAAAATAAGATTTTTGATGCTGTTTTTTAACTTTTTTCAAAGATTTTTTGTTTTGTTTTTGTTGTTGGCCTTTAAATTTTAAATTATGAATCATTTTTAACAACCTCGAGGCCCAGCAATTAAATAAAACGCAGAGCTTCGTTCTATTGATATTTTAATTATCGATATTGTTGTGTATGCAAATTAAAATTTACTAACAACAATGAATTTTTATTCTCAATGTAAAACTAATTTTAATGTAATTGTAATTTTTTATATCTGGCAACACTGAACTATAGCCACGAGAATAAACGTCAGTAGGTTTAGAAAGACCATTGCGTGCACATCTCATCGGCAACCGAATTGCGTGAGTATACCATCGACTTGTTATCACCAACTTCAAGTTTAACATCTGGCGACGAGGAAAAAGAAGAATACAACGATGACTGAAGAGTTTTTCAAAAAATTGATGGAGGAGCAACGTAACTTCACTCTCAGTGTGCTAAAGGAACAGAAGGCTTGGATGGACAGCCTTTCGAGAAGGCCTCCAGGTCAAGATGCTACTCTGGTTCCAGCTTTTGTGCAGTTCAACATTCAACAGCAGAAATGGGAGTCCTACCTGGAACAACTCAAGCAACATTTCTCTGCTTATGCTGTAATTGACGCCAACAAACAGAAATCATTTTTCTTATCTTGGTTGGGCAATGACGCTTATGAAACACTAAAAAAACTTGTCGGCGTTGACGAGTTACAAAAACAAACGTTTCTTGAACTTTCTGGAAAACTAACGGAATTCTATAAAGAAAAGGTTCATGTAGTTGCAGCTCGTTATGAATTCCATAAGGCAGAAATGGGCAGCCGTACCTACAAAGAATGGGTAGCCGATCTGCGAAGCTTAGCCCGGCAGTGTGATTTTGTGTGCAAAAAAGAAAATTGTATGCATGATTACTCGGACGATATGATCAGAGACAAAATAATTTTGAATTCGCCCCACGATGCAGTTCGTACGGCAGCCTTACAAAAACCGCAGCCAACGCTGGCCGAAGTGCAGCTCATCGCCGATTCACTTGAATCAACAACAAAGACGGTAAGCGCAATCAAAGACAAAACGAACACTACAAATGCAGTAGATAGCAATGGAATTTACTTGATGTCAGCGAGGAACACCGAAAAAACTAACATGCGTAACAAAAACAAAAAGAACAAAAAACCAAAATACCGTTCATGCACAGGCTGTGGAGTTTCACATAATAGAGATGATTGCAAATTTAGAAGCGCTGTTTGCCGAAATTGCGGCAAAACAGGCCATATTGCAGTCGTATGTTTATCAAGTGAAAAGAAATACGAACAAAAGCAGAATAAAGCCAGCAAAGTCAACAAAGGTGACAAAATAGAATACATTTCAACGGCATTTTCGGTAGCTAGCACAGTTAGCGGAAAAAATAAAAAACGTTTTGTGGAAGTTTTTGTTAATGGCATAAAGACAGAATTTCAGATGGATTCTGGTGCTGAAGTCTCCGTAATAACATTGGACACCTACGAAATGTTAAATAAACCATTACTGAAGCCATGTTCGCGTGAACTATACGGCTACGGTCATACTCAAATAGAAACTTTGGGTGAATTCTCTGCGAAAATTCAATGCGGTTCAGTCGAGAAAATATTGCCACTAGTAGTTTCGAATGTGCGGGGTTCTAGCAATTTGTTCGGAGTGGACTTATTTGAAGAATTGGGATTCAAAATTGTGCAAATTGATACATTGACCGTCGAGTCATCCGAAAAATTGCAAACGCTGTTGACTACTTTCGCAGATGTGTTCACTCCAGCACTTGGTACAATTAAGTCAGTCAAAGCCTCGATTAAACTTAAAGAAAACGCAGTACCTAAGTTCAGCAAGAGCAGACCAATTCCTTTTGCCCAGCTACCAAAATTTAAAGAAGAAGCGCAACGATTATCACAAGCAGGTATTTGGCAGCAAATTACATTCAGCGACTGGGCATCCCCCATCGTGCTAGCAACAAAACCGGATGGATCAATACGCATCTGTGGAGATTTTAAGAGAGGCGTTAACCAGCAAATTGATGTAGATCAATATCCTCTACCTACTAGGGAGTGCCTCCTACACACAGTTCGACACGACAAATATTTTTCGAAGATAGACTTGCGCGACGCATATCTTCAAATGGAGCTCGACGAGGAGTCCAAAAAAGTGCTAGTGGTCAACACGCCACTGGGCTTGTTTCAGTACCAGCGACTGCCATATGGGGTAGCGAGCGCACCAGCCATGTTCCAGATACATCTCGAGCAGCTATTATGTGGAGTTGAAGGATGCGCAAATTACATCGACGACATCATTGTGGCAGGCGCGGACGAAAAGGAACACATCGAACGCTTAGCCAAAGTTTTAAATATACTACAAGCAGCAGGTATCAAATGCAAGAGGGAGAAATGTGAGTTTTTAAAGACCAAGTTAACGTATTTGGGTCGTGAAATAAGCGCAGATGGTATTTTACCAGATGAGTCTGGAATCCGAGCTGTGAAGAACTTACGGCGTCCGACAAACTTAAAAGAGCTTGAGGCATTTATGGGAAAAATAAATTACTACCACAATTTTATTCCAAATTATTCCCAAATTGCAGCGCCAATGAACAAACTAAGGCGGAAAAATGTGACTTTCCAGTGGAAGTCAGAGCAAGAGAACGCGTTCAACGAACTTAAAGGGCATATCATAAAAGCAACCATGCTGGCTCATTTTCAAGAAGAACTACCAATCGTGTTGGCTACTGACGCCTCATCGTATGGGGTTGGAGCAGTGATCTCCCATGTTTATCCGGATGGGACCGAGCAACCGATTGCTTTTGCCTCCAAGACCCTCAATCGTCATCAAGAAAACTACAGCCAAATAGAAAAGGAGGGTTTGGCAATAATATTCGGTGTGCAAAAATTTCACCAGTTTTTATACGGGCACAAGTTTACGCTTATAACGGACCACAAACCGCTGGTCAGCATATTTAGGCCCGATAAAAGTCTTCCAACCATGACGGCTCAACGTATTCAGAGGTGGGCTATTACGCTCATGGCCTACCAGTTTCAAATAAAATATCGCAACACCGCAGAGCATGCAAATGCCGATGCCTTATCGAGGTTACCATCGGGTCCAGACGAAGATTTCGACAACAACAGCGAAATTAATCAGGTGCTTGTTATCGAAACGCCTGTTAACGCGGAGGTCATAAAAACAAGCACCGGCAATGACACAATGCTGCAGAGAGTCAAAGGATACATTCAGAAAGGATGGCCCGAAAGATTGCCTCCAAAAGACGAGGATCTTCGGCCATATTTCAATCGTAAGTTGTCGTTGATTGTTCAAAATGATTTAGTCTTGTTACAGAATGAAGTCACACGGGTTGTCATTCCGCACTCATTGCGCGAACAAATTTTGCGTTTTCTTCATGACGGGCATTGGGGCGTGGTCAAGATGAAACAACTAGCACGACAACACTGTTGGTGGCACAGCATCGATAAGGATATCGAGAAACTAGCAGCTGGGTGCGAAAGTTGCAAAGTAGCAGCTCCAAGTGATCGGCGGCAATACTCAAGCTGGCCCGAACCGCAGGCACCTTGGCAGAGAGTGCACATTGACTTTGCGGGTCCGATTTTCGATTCCATGTGGCTGTTGTGCGTCGACTCCTACTCACAATTTCCGTTTGTTTGCAAGTTAGCGAACACCACCGCTGAGACTACGATTTTCGCATTAACAACCATTTTCGCTGCTGAGGGCTTGCCAGAGACTATCGTGAGCGACAATGGTCCACAGTTTACAGCCGACGCGTTCAAAACATTCTGTGCTCAAAACGCCATTAAGCACGTCACAATTGCGCCGTTTCATCCACCCTCTAATGGGCTGGCTGAAAGATTTGTACGTACTTTTAAAACTGCTGTGAAAAAGAATTTAGATGATGGCTTGCAAGTAGGCTAAGCCGTTCTTAAATTTCTTACAACCTATCGTACTATGCCAAATGCTAAAGGCATGTCACCAGCACAGCTTTTACATGGTCGTCCAGCTCGTACTGTCTTTTCGCAGATGTTTTCTGTGAAAAATGCGAAATCAGACGTTAAAGAAACTCGAACCAAATTTGCACCCCAGGAGCATGTCTATATTCGAAACAATGGTCGCGGAGAGAAATGGTTAAAGGGTGTTGTGGACAGACGTCTAGGTAAAGTCATGTATGTAGTAAAGACTAGAAGGGGCTTCTACAAACGTCACCAAAATCAAATGAAATCTCGCCATGAAGAGGACGCGAGGTCAGTTGCAAACAACAGTGAAGGGACCGATCCGATTCCCAACTTACTGATACCGGATACAGATGCAGATGCTCATAGTGAACAGTCTCAGGTACAAACAACGAATCCGCAAGAAGTTCGTCGAAGCAGCCGTATTCGCAGATCGGTACACCGCTATCAAGCAGAAGATTTTCGAAATTAAAGCGGGGGATGGTGTTGTGTATGCAAATTAAAATTTACTAACAACAATGAATTTTTATTCTCAATGTAAAACTAATTTTAATGTAATTGTAATTTTTTATATCTGGCAACACTGAACTATAGCCACGAGAATAAACGTCAGTAGGTTTAGAAAGACCATTGCGTGCACATCTCATCGGCAACCGAATTGCGTGAGTATACCATCGACTTGTTATCACCAACTTCAAGTTTAACAGATATTTCGACCTCAATCTGAGGTCATCTTCAGGACTGCAAATATACAAACACGATAATTTATTATTAACTTTAAATTATTACAAACATACATTAAACACAACTTACACTCTTGATTGTGCCTGGTGGACTGATTAGGCGTACAAAAGTAAAAGTTAAACAAGTGAAATTTTAGGCAAATAAATATATAAACATAAGAACTAAACAATTAAAAATACCGTAAATGTAAACAAAAAACATACAAACAACAATACACGGAACATTTAGCAGTAAGACAATATGTATATGTAAAAACATATGTACATATAAAAGCACAGCATTTTATTGTTATTCTATGAAGGTATGTTGAGGAAACGGAACGAATATTGATTATGGTTGATATGTTGTTGCCGATTTAACACCAAATTGCGATACACATGTGCACAATTGTCTGTGTCTGTTTTAAAGTTGATCCTTCTCTCATTAGGGGTGTTCGTAATGTGTAACATTTCCAAAATATAGCGTTTATTATAGTTCTTTTCTTCTTGTAGAATGGCAACATTATCGAAATCGGGATAGTGTCCCGTATCCCTACAGTATGCTGACAAGGTCGTCTTATTGTCAGTTGAGCTGTGCCTTAACTTTACATTTGATTTGTGTGTGGAAATCCTTGTCTTGAGTTTAGTTTTTGTTGTCCCCACATATACTTTGTCGCATAAGTGGGACCCGTCGCCATTACATGAGATTTTGTATATTACGTCAGATCTCGTATCTAGGAATCTTATACTTAGTGTTGCTATACATTTTTCCTAGTCTGTTGCTCCATGTAAATGCAAATTGGGCCTTCTCTTTGTCATATATATTAGAATGTTAAACCCTCTCAGATATCCCCGGAATATATGTAGCGGTTTTGTATACTTTATTCTCATTATAAGTATTTTCTTTATCGGTCCTTACGCACAGTGGTTTAGCCCCATACATTGTTCGGAGAAAATTAGAAGGAGTAGGCGTATGGCTTTAATTTTTCGTGTGTAGCCTCTAAAGACATATATCAAAAAAACCAAAAATGGGTGTGACCGGTTTATTTTAAAGCCTACCTCCCGTACAAACCTACCTCAAAACGCCTTAAAAATGGCATTCAAAAAGCACCGATGAATGAAGGACTTCCAAATTTCGTCCATATATTTACAATAATGGAGTAAATAAACATGCAAAAAATTAGCAAAATCGATTTACTATAACGCATACCTCCCATACAAACCTAACGTCAAAAACGCGTAAAGATGTAATTAAAAGCACATCGATGAATGCACGACTCCGAAATTTTGGCCATATATTGTAAATGATAATATAAGCAAACGCCCTTAAAACGGCTGTAATCGGTTTATTTTTACGCACACCTAACCTCAAAAAACTTAAAAAAGTTACTAAAAGGTACAAAAAGTCCACGTACTATACAAACTGCATACTTGCGCAAGCTGAGCTATACAAAAAGGGACAGCGGAATATGTATATAAAAATGGTTCCTCAGGGTGGGTAAAACTGTTTAGACTTCAAGGTTAAAACAGAAATTTATTTTCTTACTCTCTATGCCGCATGGCACTTTTTAGTAAAGGTAGGCAAACAAATTTAATTAGTCCAGTATACATTTTCTCAATAACTCTTCTGTAAGGTTTGGATATCTATATTTAAGGTATTCGATACACTTATGCACTTCATGATTACTTTCAATTGCAATTTCAGCTAGCACTGAATTAAAAATGTTGAAATTTTCCACAATTGCTAAATTCGGTGTTAGTTTCTGAAACAGATAATAAAAGATGAAGTACAAATAATAACTCACCCTTTTATACTTTACCACGTCGTTTAAAAGCCAATTTCCTTCAATATTTATGATTTTTAATGCTTGGACTATTTTCGAATAAAAATAGGTTTGTTAGTTAAATCACTCTTTACAAAAAGAATTGCAGATAATTGCAGCTGGAATAGATAACATATTAATCCTAACTAGTATTGAAGTAATTAGTGCTATATCACAACCAATCGGACGGAGCAGAAAAAAAGATGTAGTCCATTGAATTAAGAAGTGCGCGGAAAAAATACTAACTTCTTTTAATTAAATATTTATGTATACTGGACGGAAAATCAGGTCATGTAATGACATTTTCAATAATTAGACATATGCCTCTTATGATAAACAATAAATTTTCTGCCAAGGTGATGTGCGTTTCGGAGTTATGTCACTTGAAACAAGAATGTATTTTAAAATTTTTTTATGTAGGTATTCAAACCCTTGACTTTACTGGCTTAGTTTTCAAACTTGTGATTATATTTGCTGCCAAATCTTGGAAAACCGGGTCACCCAAGGGGTGAAGTATTGGTAATAAGTATAAAAAACGACAAAATGTGACCTTCACCAATATAATTTTTTCCGCCTAATTACGACTGTGTGACGTAATAATTCTGAATGAGTTTCCTAATTAAGCAAGAGGGGAATTCGTTCTGTTCCAAAATTTGTTGGATGATATTTTTGTTCTTTTTATGAAAATGTTTGTCGCTAATAGTGAGAACTCTTCTAATAAAATTGGTTGCGGTATTTAAAATAGTTTTCCTCTCATGTTTCGAACTACAATTAATTAATCTCCCCGACGACGTAGGTTTTGCATACCAGTCAACTTTTAATCGGTTGTTCTTCCTGAACTAGGGTGTCCAGATATTGTAGTTTTCCATCTTTTTCTATTTCTATCGTAAATTTAATCGTCTTTTGGTAGCTGTTTAATAAAGTGAGCATTTTGTCTATATCTTCTGTTTTAATTATGGCAAACAAATCCTCCACATACTTGGTTAGGAGACTTTCAAATTTGGTCATTAAATCTTCCATTACTATGTCTGCTATCACTGGGGAACCCACAGGCATTCCTGACAGTTGCTCATATATTTTGCCATTATATTTAAAGTATCGATTGTCTTTTATGCAAAATTTTACCATACTTAAGAATAAATCCTTAGACAAATGTGTATGCTCTTTGATATCACTAAACTTCGAGGCAATAATATTTATAGCCACATCCACTGGGATACTTGGGAACAACGAAACAACATCGAACGACACTAAACTTTCGTCATCATATATATAAGTATTTAAATCCTGTTCTTTAAATCAATCGCGTCTTTAACATTGTAATTGGAAGATTTTGTAATGTTTCTAAGGATATTGACAACGTATTTGCAAAAAAATTGTAGGACGGGGACTTGATGGACGAAAAAATGGGTCTGAGGGGTATCCCTTCTTTATGTATTTTTGGTAAACCATAGATTCTTGCTGGATTGGCTGTTTTACTAATAAGCTTGTTGTTTTCTGTTAAATCAATGGCCTTGTTATTATATAATCTCTCCACTATTTCATTATTTTTGTCTTGTCATTTACTTGTTGGATCACGTTTCAAAATTCTGTAAGTGTAGATGTTGTTGACGATTGACTGCATCTTTGTATCGTACTCAGACTTGTTCATAATTACGGTTACGTTCCCTTTATCGGCATTTAGAACTAAAAGGTGTTTATTGTTCTTTAAAAATGTTTTTGTGGAATGTAAAGTATCGCGAATAAACTTATCTCCTGGAGAGGTAGAGGAGAACCGGATTAACTCCCAACTTCATCGACAACGCTACGAAAAATATACTTTACATAATCAACAATAATACCAGTAACAAAGCATTACTAACAAAAATCACCAATTCAGTTTCCAAATTCATCAAAAACGATCAGACCAAACTACTAAGCCTACTCATCAAAATCAAACATGAGCTGCTTGCAAAAAAGGAAAAGGAGGTAAATACTTCGGTAGGGACAAATAAGAAATTGGTGCAAAAGTAACGCGGGCCTTATGTTGTACACAAGGTCCTGCCGAACGATCGCTATGTGATCAGGGATATCGATAACTGCCAGCTAACGCAATTGCCATACGATGGGATTGTTGAAGCCCTGAAAATCCGTAGATGGCTCTTACCTGTCGCCCACCCCGAAAGTAACTCCGTCACTGAAGCCAGCAAGCCACCCTTAACCCGAGCAGTAGATTCGGAAACATAACCCCCACACCTTGATTGGGGTCAATCAAAAAAATCAGGTTGGCCGAGATGTAATGATATTTGTTTTAAGTAAGATCAGATGTAAACTGGCTATTATGTTGTAATGATATTACCCTTAAGTAAGATCAGATGTAAACCGGTTATTACGTTAGTGGTATGTTTAATAGACCTAGAAAAGTTGAATACAGAAAAAAG